AGCAGGTGAATCGAAAGAAACGGATATTTGTTACTGGAATTCCTTTTCTCCAGTTAACGGTCCACGTTCCTTCGAGCAGTAATATTTCTACCAAAACTACGTTCTTCATGGAGCATTCGAAGTTAAGTGTCTTCATTCCTGATCCAAATTAAGTTCGGAGTAACCAATGGTGCTTATATTCTTATCTCTGTGAAATACCAAGTTCCATTCGACCTGTCCAAACATTCTCAATGATATCCATAAAATCCAAGTGACCGAGAAATCTCGAACGATTCCCTCTGCTAAACGAGATATCACTAATGATATTCCATTCTAATTTCTACCATAAAGTACTCGAACGATAATCCAGACCGATCCAAAAATAGAGTATCTCTGGCGTTGTTCTCGCGAAATTTCTAAACGTCCAATCGAATCATCGTCAAACACGCAGCGCATATTTCACGCATCACCGTGCAACCGTTCACCGAAAACTTTCCCTGGTAGTCTGTTGTATGTTCAGCACCCCTCTGTTACCGAATCGATCCAAACGCGCGAAGCCCATTAATTCGCCAATGGGAAACGTCGTCGTCTCCAGTTACACCATCTCCATCGATATCCCTCCTCAACTTTCCTCTCCTGTTTTTCGTACACACGAAGATTCACCCCACGACAAATATGCGCGAATGTTTACAATTATTTCACAACACTGTGAAGCATAAATTACATACATAAGATCCCCCCCCCCCCTCACTACAATAGAGTCTTTGAGCTATGCGCACGGTTTTCCTCGCGATCGTTGGCTCAGATATCACGACGTCGTGATCTATCGTCACGGTGCACGCACATGTGTGCCGCGGTTTGTGGGCGACCTCGTGCCTTCGGTGGTGTTGTATAGATATATACAGGGTGAACCACGAATCGTGATCAGTAGAGATTACTCTGTTATTAGCAGTACGATCGAAAATGTTTTTACCAGGTGTAGCATGGTTTCAAGAGAGCTTTAACGCGATTATAGCAAATTTTTTGACAACTTTTTCTTTCATGATTTTTCAAGGTCACCTTCAATTTTTTTGCAAATACACGTATCATTTTTTACGCCTATCTGTTAGAGGATTTCAAGACGAATTCGGTAAGTATCATAACGTAATACATGTTACTTTCTTTTTTTAATTGAATTCTTGAAAGAAATTTGAAGGTGACTTTGAAAAATTATGAAAAAAGAGTGTTGAAAAAAAATTTGCTATAATCATGTTAAAGCTATCTTGAAACCATGATATACCTGATAAAAACATTTTCAATAGGGCTGTTAATAACAGAATAATCTCTACTAATCACGATTTGTGGTTCACCCTATATATATATATCTACAATCGAACGAGTGTGTGACTCTCCCGCGAGAGTCGCTTAAAAAAAATATTTTCTTCCACGTTTTAGGCGATTTATGTACTTCATTGAAGTCTGGTAACAGGTGAACGTGTTCACCGAGTTCGTACTAATTGGTAGAGAAACATTCTTCGTGGTGGGGAAGCTTCATTGATGGAGACTCCTCTCGGGTATATGTATTCCTGATCGACGCGTGAGAAAATTTTCTACAGATACTATATGCATATCTTCGGAATACATGAATGAAAAATCACACTCGTCCGTGTCGCGTTGATCGATCGATCTTCGAGTTCTCTCCCGCTGTAAGATCAAGTGCTCGCCTTGACCTTGCTTTTCTGTCACTGCAAACTTCTTGTCACGGTTTTACGCGACGATTTTCAGGACTGGTTTAACGGTTTGTCGCGAAACACTTGGGAATTCCGTCGAAAGGCTGTTGATAACGAAAGTATCGTTTGATTTTGGAATTTCGTAGGATACTAGTTTCAGAGTTTCTTTTTTGGTCTCGAAGGTGGAACGTAATCTTGTAGTGGAAGTAGTGGTTGTATCGCGAGGAATATGGTGTTCGATACGAAACCAGGGGTGAAAATTACACGGTTGCGAATTTATTTGTCCAGGTAGCGATTGGTAATTGAAGCCGATGCCAATCAACCAGGAGGGGAACTCGGTTTGTGCGCGCGTAGACGTGTCATTAATCTGTCTTTTCTCCTCGCTTCAATCAACATCATCGCACCGTTGCGACAAGTAATATACACCGTGCCTGTAACTCGACTCTCGCAATAGGTGTACGACCCATTTTAATTCGATAGAATATTTCTGACACGTTACAGACGGTAGAAATCTTTTTCTTATTCTTCGGCAGTCTCGATCGCGAACTCTTCATGACACATTTTGCAATCGACGATTTATTTACTGACTCAGTTTGGTATTTATAATTGTTTGGGCACGATTTGTACTGTATTAACTCTTTAGGGTTAGGTGGATATGTTTTAACCCACCTAGAAAAGGTTAAGTTACTCATAGTCATACAGTTTAATATTTTACTTTTATATAATTTGTTTTATATTACAAAAAATTCTGTGCAACTAGGGTTTTCATTTTCTTTAAAATCGTGTGCCTCAAAGAGTTAAAAGATACATCTAGCACGTCATTTTACGTTATACTCTTTTAACGACATTACAGACAGTTTGCAGTTAATTTTAATTCAATGTATGTATATGGAGTTGTGATAATGGTTCGCGGTATTATATTCTTTAACCCTCTGCACTACACTGGTGCTGCGACAATCAAAAACTTCATTGCAAAATCTGTGTCTTATTCATTCGATACGAATTAAGTTAACGAAAAAATCTTCATTTGGAACGCAACTTATTCATTTATTATTTATAATTGCCAGTCATTCAGAATAACAGAGTCTCGAAGTGCAAAGGGTTAACATTTGCTTTTAGTACCCACATACTTGAATTTCACTATAATTTTATTCAAAGGGATACAAACGTGAACAGTAAGTAAGAAGACCGGTAAGGTTATCCCAATACGATATTAAAGTGGAGAAAGCGATGCCTACTTTTCTTCCTGTCATCACGAATTACTTTAAAATATCGTTTTTCATAAAAATCTACAGTCACCTTAATAACATATAAAATCACCAGGGTCACAGCACGCAAATTTATTTATTTCCAGACTTTAAAGGTATTGGTAGACAACCGATTTTCATAAAGCAGGCAATAAGTCGCCTTGACATTGCGACAAGGGGGGAAGAAATCGCGTAGCGATGACGTGGGGCCGCGGCTCACCTTGCTTTCAATCCAGAAAACCGATAGAAGAATGAAACGGCGTGAGCGCGCGTGCAGCCGGTTCTCTCGATAATCAGCAATGATCTGAGCGCGCAATTATTCGTAAGGATCGTTCCCAAGCGTGTGTAACGTCTATGGAATCCGCGACGAGCGGCGGGGGATCGTAAAGTGGCATAACGATTTCATCAGATTTTACGTAACGGAAGCCCCGATGAAAAATAAACCGATCTCGCCACGGGATTCGAATCGCCTTTCCCCTCGATCGTACTTTGATTTTTTACGGTTCGAAATCGGATTCGTGCATCAACATGGCCGCCTAAAGTCCATTTTTGTACGATCTTTACGATCGTTCCTGGTTTTTTTTTCTCTCAAGTCTTCCTTCCAGCGACATTTCAAAAGACAGGCTAGCACCACGAAGAATATTTATCGTCCTCTCTGGACCAGAATAGTGTCGTAACGTCAATAGGGTGTCGCCCCCCCCCCCTCTCTCACGTTAATGGAGCAATTAAAATTTTATTTCCTCTTGTAACGGTGGAAATTATGCTCGGACGGAATCACGATTCCTCGTCCGGTCTATCCACTCGTTTCCAGAGGACCTTTTAACTAGACACGTGGTCAATTACATCGCGAAATACTTTCACCGATAAATATCAGCCGATTTTCAACGTTTCGAGAGCTGGCGATCAATCACTATTTGCGACAGCTTAACATGACCCGAATAATCAATTAACAATCGGATCGTTTCGATTTAATGGAGAGTTTAACAAGACTGGCTTTCCCCCAACGTAGGGTACGAGGCTACACGACCGTCCGCCATTATTCATCCCCTTGTTAATTTATTAAGTAACGCTTTGGATGGAGCGCTCGCGGTCGCGAGACGGTGACTTTCGATCGGATAGAAACGTCGGCGGGAACTAACGGCCTCTAAATGAGCACTTCCATCGCTGATTTTATTCCCTCCGCCGGCTATTGGCCCATAAATTTTCATGCTTTGTTAACCGACGAACGTGCACGGCTCGTAAAAATTGTACCGCGGCTGCACGGACTGTCGACGAGTGAAAGATATCGGTATCAAGAGGGATCTTTAACTTTTCAACAATGGAACAATAATAGTAACAAACTTAGATATTAAATGGACCATTCATGGATTGATTTGTATACAAGGTGACTGGCGAAATAAATCGGTAATCATTTAAGACTGTTTTAGTAATAATTTGATCGACAAGATCTTCTCAAGTTTTCGATTTAATTTTGTCCATGGTTTTGCTCCATTTTTGGTTAATTTTCGTCTTTCCTTATTCCACATACAAAGGTGTTTAATCGTTAATCAAGTCCGTTAAGACTGAACGAAGAAGCTCTTCATTCTCGGTTTGGAATTGAACAATTTTCGCACGTGGATTGAGAAAGAACCGTTCAAAGTGAAAGTGCCATCAAGGATGCATAATTGTCGACGTTCGAGTAACTCGTCTGCGATCCTTGATGTATTGATCAAGAGAGAAAGAGAAAAAAAAAACTTGTCGAACGTGATTCGTTGCTAATTAATAGAACCGCCATGCGAATTGATGGTCCAAAGTGTTGAAAAGGAGATTGCGCAACCGTTTCAGTCCATAATCGTTGACCGATCGCTTTTTACATTCTGACAGGCGTTTTTAACATTGTACATCTGTCCATATGCTCTCGTTACATAATAAAGACGTGCTATTATTATTACAAGCACGTCAATAATACGAAATTACGAAAGCGATAAAATTAAACATCGACACGTTCCTAAAAAAATAAATTATACACATCTGATGTAAAGTAGAAGATTCAGAGATTGATATTCCTTTTTTACTTTTGTTATAGACAATTCTGCTGGCCTTCATCGTCGCCATCCTGGCAATGTCCGCGGCGCAGGACTATAGTCAGCTGTTCGCAGGATTCGGCCCGTACCTGAGGCCAAGCGCAGGGATGCGAGATCCTCGATCGAACAGGGGTAAGTGAAAAGTGAAAGTGAGATTGACGTCGATCCAATCCCCCCTTGAACCCCGACCTTCAACGACAGACAGTATCGACTGATCATGACAATTAAACCGACGTTTACGCAAATATCGAATTTCGTGAATAGCTTCACAAAAAACCGTAGTCAAATAGAAATTTCTTCGTCTTGTTAACCCTTTCAATCTTTATGTCGAGTATACTCGTCATGAAAATGTACATATAGCTTAAAAGTAGTGCACGTTTTCAAAATGAAATAAACCACTTTTCCATTCAACAGAAAATAATGAAAGCTTCTAACCTTCCACCAAAGTACTCGCAAAGTGTAAATTGTACAATTTTCTACAAAATTTCGTCATATTGATATTTCTATATATACGATTTCAATTTGACCCCTGTCAGAGGGGTCATAAGTCGTCGCGAGAATGGCACCTCTTATCCGCGAATTTACGGAGTAATTAAATTCCAAACGCATTCCCCGTTGGAGCGTGACGGGACTACGGAACGAGATGATTATCGCACGATCGCGTAATTCAACGCGAGAGTTATTATTAATGAGGAAGCAAGACGTTATCGATGTAATCGCGATACCCATTGCGCACCGAGTACACGATCGCTTTTACCGGAACTGTATCTGACATCTGTCGAGGCCCTCGTGATCTGGAATAAGGAAGTTCGTGGTCGAATTCGAAAGATTTATCGTACACGTCAGTTCTATCGAATTGGCATCGGGAATAATTTCCACTATGGCAGGATTTTCAAGTAGTAATATCAATAATATACGCAGAGCCGACTGACCACTTGTTTCTGATCATTAACCTGCGGATTTTATGCATTTATAGCCTATAGGGCTCTGTGAAATACAATAAAAAACAACTTTTATCAGATCCAACGAGTTTTCTATTTTATTCCAAATTCAATAAGATACTTAAGAGGGAAAATAAATTTTTACAATTGCTCCTGCCTTTAAAAATTCATTTAAAATCTTTGATTTTGCATAAAAATCCAGTCTACTGATAATTATAGGATGAAATATTGGAAGTTTAACAAAGGAAAATCGAAGTTATATAGGGTGGACCACGAAACGTGATTAGCTTAGATTATTCTACTGCTATTAAGTCCACTTTAAGAAAAAATGAAATTTTACATGTTTCCCGTATCAATTTTTCACTCTTTCTCATAGTAAAAATTATTTCATTCTAAGTCTTTTAATATAATAGTCTAAAACAATTAACAATTTCTACAATACCCAGTCTTGTCTAAAAGTTCGAAGATAGCGATCGTTTCTTGTTGAATTCTTATCGAACAGTCCCGAAGTTCCAAGGTTTTTGCAACTTTCGTTTGCTCCGTTCTGAAGTTTCAAAAACGTGGCTTAATACAGTCTGGAGTCCAGATATTAAATTTTGCAGGTTTCAGGAAAATTTGAATCGGACGAAGAGTTGGCTCACGTTTTATCTATATCTTTCGGAGGATCGTAGCGCGGAAATAAGGAATTCGATTACCATTATCGTATATTCTAAGGTCAGCTCCGTCGATCTGACATTTAACGGGGCACGTGTCGATGTACACGTAACCAGGATACGCTGGATCCTAGCGATCGTGTGGAACGCAGACCGTGTGTACGTGCCGGAATGGGTGCCAAGTTCAGACTCATGCTACAATAAATATCGCCCGGGCAAACGGTGCTGACAAAACGAACGAGTCACGTTGAAACTGGTCGATCCGATTCCTTCTGTTCCGTTACGTAACACGTGCGTGGTGCGTGCGAATTTTTCGCGATCGTGAAATGTATTTATTTATTTATTAAACGGGCAATAATCCGAGATATGAGTAACAAGATTAACAGAATTATAAGTCAGGTTTGAAACGAAAGCAAGAAGAAGGAAGACAAGAGTAGTTACCTAGATAGTATAGAGATTAAATTACTAATCTAATTGGGAATGACATGTTTGAAAACTTACTTGACATTACATTCGCTGCAATAATATCTACTTTCTTTGCTTTTTCTTTACGTATTGAAAATAAATATCCAGACACTACAGAAGACTCGATGTGACAAGTAAATAAATACTCATACATTCATTTAGTCGATCTTTTGTTTCGATACGATTAAACATAGCATTCACGTCGTTAATATATTTATATTAGTTGATAATGGCGATAGACGTGATATACACTATGGATTTTTCATGAACTCGAACAACCCCCGTGGGAAGAACGGTCCTGGTCCCGATTGAAATTCCAACCGGTGATTGAAATCAGGCCTCGATGTGTGAATGAAAACAGGGCTTAATGGGGTATTTGATGGACGACGTTCAATGTTTCGCGATGATTAATGTGTCTTCAACAGACTCCGTTTCGCGTCGAGTGTTTCAATTAATGTTTCATTCGGCCCGAGGAACGAAATGGCGCAGAAGTAATCATAAAATCGTTGCTTTGATGTCCTGTTTAGTTTCTCTCCGGTTAACAGGGTATATTAAGTTGTTGCATAATAAATGTCGTGTTCCAATGTTCCATTATAAAATCGTTAAATACGGGCTCGAGATGGTTGTAACTCGTTGGGCAAGACTGTGTCAATTGAATTCGATCGTATTTCGATTAGACACTTGTTACAAAATAAGCTATAAACAGTGAAACTCTGGAATTAAAGAATGACATTTACTATACTGCTTACCCATTTCGATACTACGGGAGACTGCATAACTTCTATGTACCATTAAACAGTCCTTAAATTATCGAAGTCGATAAAATGTCAAATTTAATTCCGGTCAAGTTACTACAAAATGTTTGTTTTCCTTAGTTACATATTATTCAAAATTTAATATCTGAAGTTTCTGCGTTACTCAGAAGGTGACTTTGAAAAATCATGAAAAAAAAGGGTTGACAAAAAATTTGCTATAATCACATTAAAGTTCTCTTGAAACCATGCTATACCTGATAAAAAGATTTTCGATCGGACTGGTAATAACAGAGTAATCTCTACTCATCATAATTCGTGGTTCTACTTGCATATTACTTGGTAGTGTTGTTTTCTGAAAGGAGTTTCGAATGAATTCTATGAAATTTGTAACAGACGTTGCTCCTGCCCCCAGGTCCGGTGCTGTTCCCACCTGGCCCAGCGCCGAACGGTGCCGACACGAGCGGAGTGATCGTGGGCGCGAGCGGATACGGATTCGTGCCACCCAACCAAGGTAAATAGGCGATTGGATACCGAGCCGTTGGAGAACGAACCGTTTCTGTTTTCCCACACACACATACGCGCGCGACGAAAAAACTTGGCGAACAAGCAATCGAGCATTGGACCAGCAAAAGGCACAGTGTCCTAACACGAGCCCACCAAAGACTCACCATCATCGACGGGGCGAGGAGTATTATAATTTTCACAGTGGTAGGGGGTGAAACTAACCCCGAGCACCGTCACACGTAACCGTGCCGATTCCTTTCGCCACCCTGTGCACACCTAACTTGTGAATAAAACGCTATTTATTTGTTGTCACACACACACACATAAATCAGATCACCTGCCCTGTTCCACCGTCCCCCATTTCTTCACTGTAACTGATATTTCCATTAAGATCCCTTTCGTTGATCGCGTTTCGATGAACAGACTCACGGTGTTCGCGATAATTGAAGAGTTCTATTATTTTTTTCTTTTAATTTGCACAATATCGACAGTGTAATAGAATCTGTTTCCGAAGATGAATAGCACGAAGAATGACGGAAATCTTCGAGAGATCTATTCTGATCTGATGTCCGCATCGGGGAACCTTCGCGTTTAGAAAGTGAAAGGTGAATTTTCGAGTCGATCACAGCCGAAAGCGAGGTCGTGATTAATATCATTGTTAATAGTCAATTAAATTTAAAAGATTCTCTTGCTATTACACCTGTCCCCGTTCCGTAGATGAACGAATGCAAATCGTTTCGTTCCTTCGAGATGCATTGGACGATCCTTCGGCGTCCAGGATCCGAACGGAGGTCGCCGTTCGATCCTTGGAATCGTTTCCGTGAAAGGTGAAGCCGACCCCTGTTCGTGATCGTGAACCCGTCGAGGACGCCGTATCCTCTTCCTCGTTCGCCTCTAACGAATGCCGCGTCGTCGCGACACGGAACACCGTGATATGCAAACGAGGATGCTTATCCTTCGTGTCGTTCGAACGTCCTTCATTCGCGCGTGAGTTCCCAGAACCCACGATCCCGTGAATATGCAAACACGTGGATGTTTAACACTAACCAATCATACGACCATGCACTAATCGATGTACATATTTGTGCTAATACGAGAGAATAAGAACAGGATGGTGTGTTCACGATGTACATAGTGGCGTTAAGTTGTTTGGTAAATAGGACAGAGAAGCCCAGGTAAGTTGTTTCTTTCAGTAATACGTAAGGAATAAAACAGTATCTAAGGGGAAGTCGATTCTTTATGATAAAATAATCCATAGAAATGGTTTCGATGTAAATTACAATTAGAGTTTCTGAGAAATTACAGTTTTAGAGAAATCTGTGGACACCCCGAAGACTTTCGGTTCTTGAATCCACGGGTGACATTTCTCTCCTCACCACGATTTATTCTAGAAAATTGTCACGATCGTTTAGGGCAAAATATTCTAGAGACATATATTCGAAATAAACTACAATTACAGTTTCTGATAAATTACAGTTGTCGAGAAATGTGTGGACACCCCGAAGACTTCCGGTTTTTGAGTCCACGGGTGACATTTCTCTCCTCACCACGATTTATTCTATAAAATTGTCACGATCGTTTAGGGCAAAATATTCTAGAGAAATATTTTCGAATTAAACTACCACCACCAAAGTGTCTGATAAATCATACTTTTAGAGGAACGTACGAAGACCCCGAGGACTTCCGGTTCCTGAATCAGAGTTGAGATTTTTTTCCCCACCACAATCCATTCTATAAAATTGTCATGATATTTTATGGTAAAATATTCCACAGAAATATTTTAGAATTAAACTACCATCCGAGTTTCCGATAGATCACATTTTTAAATGAATCCACGAAGACTTCCGGTTCCCGAATCACAGTTAAGATTTCTCTACCGCGATTTATTCTGCAAAATTATCAGGATCGTGTTGTACCAATAAATCCTTCCCCACCTATCGTATTTCCTCTTCGAAATGTAGTTAGCATCGCGCTTCCTCGTTCACTCTCGGAAGAGATGCGGAGGAACAGGTTGAGGAGTGGGAAAGAAAAGACAGGAATACCGGTTTCCCCGGGGAAGAGCCAGCCTTGGGATTCACTTGGTCGAGCGAGACCGCTTTAACGTCGGGTCAGTGAAAGTGTTTTCGTCGGCCTCGTGACTTAAACTCGTTTGCGGACGTAACCTCACTCGCCGGTTGTTACTTCGTCGTGGCGTAACAGGTGTTACGAGGTCAGTCGGATCGTTGATAAGGTCGCAATCTTTCGGCGACTCGAAAATGGACATCCGCTACTGGGATCAACGTTCTCTCATGGTCTTACGGTCAAGTTCAAATTCCGTGATTTTTGGGCGCGGTTTCCTTCGATGAAATCGGAACACTTTCGTTGGCTTCCCTTCGGGTATAAACACTGTTCAATTTGTGGAGGATCTCTTAGAGCTTTCGTGGACGATCGCCATTTTGGAATATTGAAATTAAGGTTCAAATCGTTTATTGTAGATATCTTTGAACCTGCAATTATGTCTCGAAAAATATTAGAAATATCGATAAGTAATCCATCATTCTTTTCTAAAAATCGGTAACAGGGTTTAAACTTGAAACATCTTTCTACCGTTTTCTTTTTCCAAAATTGCGGCGAACGTCGAAAAACCAGAGACAGATATCATTAAAATGGTACAAAGACCTCTGACTTCCTCGAAAATAAGTATCGAAGTGAACAAAATATACCGGATTCCTTATTGGTACACCTGAATGTTCCGTATAAAATTTACAATCGAGACCAGAAGATTTAGTATGGTGAACTTCGCGAAGAAATTCAACAACAAGAATTTGGTTGAGAAATGGATTTACAGAAGAAACGAATTCCTTTACCCGGATGGTCCACTCGGAGATATTATAAATGTTGTCGTCTACCGACGCAAGACGACAAATAATCGCCTAATACGTAATAGTTCGTAAAACTCAATTCGATTAGCATTCTTTCTCCATCGAGCGGAAACTCCGCTCCCATAAAGTCCGGTTTACGAGTGGCCTAATGAGCCCCGTGGCTCCGGGTCCTCGGCAATTTCACGATTTATAATCGACGTCCGTGCATGATTGCACGTCGTTAAGCCACCCCGTTGGCTCCCTTTATCACGTGCCCGTGGTGTCGTTACCGAATTACGCGAGCGTTTCGCCAGCTCGCCGTTTCACGTGAAAGGGGACATACCGCGTGCACGCCTCGGTAACGAGACGACCGGTAATATAATTTAAAATAATCGTAACGGACGGTTATTCGATCCCCTTCCATGAATTTTTAATAGACGCTCACGCATAATTTTAAAGAAGCTCGAGATAATCCGGGAGCTGGGGAGGTTTTGATAGTCGAACTGGTTCCCTGGATCATTACGCGATATACACTGCACGATCACCAATAATAACGGTAAATTGAATTACTGTATCAGCTACTCGATCGTATCGAATCGATTGAATATCGAATATATCGTACCGCAAACTGTTCGCCGTATAATTACACTATAACGTATCATTCCAGGTCGAGTGTTCGATAGATTTCCCTCGTAACTCGAACGTTCCACGATCATTACGGTGAAATGGATAATGAAAAAGAAGGTTTAATATTCCTGGTATCGCGTCCCAATGGAGATGAAACCTTCGATATCTTCATTCGAAACTCTGTCAGGTGTCCGAAAAGCTGACGAACGATCAGACGGAAAACGGGAATTTTAGAGAAATATTTTTGAATTAAACTATCCTTAGAGTTTCGGAGAAAAGACATTTTTAGAGAAATCCGAGGAGACCCTGAAGACTTCCGGTTCTTGAGTCTACGGGTGATATTTCTCTCCTCGCCACGATTTATTCTATAAAATCGCCACGATCTTTTACGATGAAACATTCTAGGAAATATGTTCAAATTATGTTACCGTCAGGGTCTCTGATAAATTGCATTTTAATTACACCGTAATGTATAGAACGTTCCACGATCATTACGGATATCGAAAAAGAACGTTCGACTCTCCTGGTATCGAGTCCCAATGGAGAAGAAACTTTCAGTGTCTTCATCGGAGACATTACCCGGTTCCCGAGGAGCACTCGAACAATAAAACGGAAAAGAAAAACTGTTCTAAAAAGAACACCTCTTCCTCGTTCCTCATGGTCGACACGTAGACGTGCAAGAACCGTGTTCTCGAGCTCCTTCATCCTCGCATTTCGCACGAATCACAGCGAACAATGCCACGGAGCATCGTACCGAGCCTCGACGCGATCGAGTCGAGCAGGGAAAATAGATCGAGGCGGGAATAAATCTCAGGTATCCGTTATGATCGCGGACTGTGTGCATCTTTCGGCCGTTTTACGCTCGTTAATGCTTGTAAACGCGCCGCGTTGGGAGCATAAATTCGTCGAGTGATTAACATCGTGACGCGTTAAGGGTAAGAAAATGTGTTATAAAAACCAACCCCCAAAAGTCGTTGGTTGCGCGTCGTATACTTTATCGGGATAATTCGGGGGATTAACTTGCCACAGCGGGTAGATAACGAGCTAAGGACATAATTTAATTTGTTATGGCCTTATTTTTATTAGTACTGAAAATGGAGGAACATTTGGTGTCGAGACTTGGCTTCTTACGAGCCCTCAGAATTCCACTGCTGTGCTACGCGATTTTTCGTTTGGAATAATCACGTGGAAGGGACTTGATTAAGGGATGGAAGGTTGTTAGAGATTGTCGAGAATTTAAATATCGATGTGATCGATGGTGATCACGCAACAGGTTTGCATCGATATGGATACCAAAGTGATATCTTTTGCAACAGGGAACACGAAAGTTTCACTTTTGGAGTCGTTTAGCTGATTTATTGGATAATCCACGATTGGTTATTACCGATCCTGGCAGTGTGGCAGCACACTTTCGACCCATCGTACGGAACTGTCAATGTGGTTAGCAGACATTATTCACCGCGGTAGTGAAAGGAAACGAGATAACGAGCTGGTGTCTACACATACGTAGTTTTCGTGGAGAAACCGTATCATGCATACTGTTTGTATGATAAAAAATATAAAGTACACTCTCCCGCTCATAAGTATTAGGACACTTATCGAAATGTACAGTAAATGTTACAAGGCATTACATAATTACTGAAAGTCTGAAATAAATATTGTGTAGGGGATATTGAAGCACGATGGACAATACTTATGCTACTATAAAGTAATAAAGGTGGTTTGAAATATATCTTTTTTTTTACGAAACATCTATTCCACTTTCGATTTCTTAATAGAACTAGATTCTCGGTTAACTTAATTGTTAATATGCGGCGCACAGAGGGCCAGTGGGTAGAGAACTATTCTACCAATCAAAGGGAGAAGATTGGGAGAAAGTTGGGGGTGTCGAGGCAAGGTGACGAGGTTACACTGTAATTAACAGCTTTGAAGTGGTCCAGGCCTGACTTCTCATTACCGGCCTGGTCAGGTGTCCCGGCGATTACCCGCGGAAACGGGGACTTTGCCGGTTAGTCGGGGCAATCGCAGATGAAAATCACGCGGGGATCTCCCGGTTGGACAGGGGCTGAAGACCCTCGGGAAGGGTGGATCGAAGGGCTGCTTTCGGAGGAGGACGAAGATATTTCTCGGGAAGCGATCAGCCTGGGAAATGAGAGACCTTTTGTCTAGCGATGCGTTTGGAAGAGGGCTGTTTCGAATGTTCGCATATTCGGATAGTAATAGAATTCGAATTTAATATTCGAACGTAATATTCGAATAGTAATAGAATTCAAATTTAATATTAGAATAGTAATAGAATTCGAATTTAATATTCGAATAGTAATAGAATTCGAATTTAATATTCGAATGTTATATTCGAATAGTAATAGAATTCAAATTTAATATTCGAATAGTAATAGAATTCGAATTTAATATTCGAATAGTAATAGAATTCGAATTTAATATTCGAATACTCCGTACTATTTGAATACTTCGTGCTATACGAATTCTTGAATAAATTATTCGTACTCCAAATTATTCGAACTATTCGAATAGTTCGAATATCCAAATACTTAGGAGATTTTGCGAGGAGAAAAACTGGTTTGAGTGACGACAGATTGCAAAATATTGAAGCATCCAGTCGATTACGTTTGATTAACGAGTTGGCTGATTAACGACGACTCGATCCTTGTATTTAGCAACCGGTGTCGTTAAAAGCTGTATTCATCATCCTTCTTTAATACTGTTACTCATTCTGTTACAGCATTTTACAGGTACTTTTACTATTAACGGGGAACGCAAGGGACACGGTAGGGGAAAGGTGGAAGAAGGCCTCGAATGCGACGGCTGCTACGTTGCTGATTGGGTCACGACATGGTTCCGCGAGGAATCGTTAAGAATCGCGGAATCGACTAACGGAAGAAAGAAACAAAAATTTCTAACCTGTTTGGCGCGTTACCAGTGCCAAGATTGCGAACAAGGAGAATCTCTGCAGATGTTTATATGAGACTTAGATACCAAGCCCATAGATTTCTAATATATTTGTCATTAGCAGTGAAAAAGAAACGAGCCTATTTGCGGTGGAACCTCGATCAAGAGAATTCTTAGGATAATCGAGTTAGGAGCAATTGAGAACGGAGAATAGGTAACAATCGAAATATTTCAGTTCGCCTCACGAAATTCTTCTGGATGGTCTCAGATCATATTGTTTAAAATAAATATCGTCTATTGATCCATCATCTTCATCCGTTATCATCGACCTTAAGCAAAATCAGTCGAGGTTCTTCCGTATCGAAAACGCTCGTAATCGAACAAACTCGTAAGAAAGTCCATTGACATCGAGGACTTCGTACGAATCGATGAATCGAACGACGCCACGTCGAATCGGTCGTCGATCATGCTTAAAGTATACCACCAACGGGTTCCACCGTCTATCACCGATGTGTATTTAAAATTTAGTTGTACATACGGGTAACCGGTCCATTGATCCTGACACGACTGATCGCGTACGAAAGATAGGATATTATCGACGGTTCGCTACGTTTCCGTAATTCGATCGCAGATTTCCCAAGCGTGCGCGCTGCGTTACACGCATGCCTGCACCGATATCTGTTACGTCATATCGTCGATCGATCGTGTTCGTTATGCACAACAGCCGCGTTAGTCACGCGGTGCACTTGAAAATCGACGGAATCCGCGGATTCAAGGAATTCCTTGCGTCGATTCGCGTCGAGATCAATGCGAAAAACGATTCCTTCTAATTTCGTCCATCGGGTCAGGATCGATCGCGGACCGATAGGATTGTCAATAATACCAATTCAAGTATTCATAGTTGTACATAATAATACTGGTGAAATAAACTTATTTTTGTTGAACCCATTACACGTTCAATTATTCTCAGAATCAGAAGTCTGGTGGTTCTAATTTCTAGGTGGTTGGAGCTCTTATAAAGTAAGTATTATTAATATGTTGAAAGGAAACTATCGAAGGAAGTGTCAAGTTGAGACAAAACAGCCTTTACATTTCGAAAAAAAAGGGGTCTGTACGAATATAATACCCTTTTTATCTTCATCCTACACGCTATTCCTAGTTGTTTTCCCGTTACTCGAACAAGATCCATTTCCACCAACGACCAACACACCGTGTACTACACCTTACATAACGATCTACAAAAACATCCATTCACGATGTTCTATGAAGTAGCCAGACCCGTGAAGAATCAAATTTCACAGCGTCTCCGGATGGACGGAAAACAATTCTCCAGGTACACTATGTCTGTCCCGAAGTAAAAAGGGGGAAACCACATCGATACGATAAAACGGAATGCAACAAAAAGAAAAACGTAATTACAATAAGAACCGACGATTGAACGGGGGTTCGAGAAATGGCGGGGATCTCGAGTACAACACCACGAACGACTTTTACTTTTAGTGACAGGCTTGCAGAAGTTCGTTTCTTCTCCAAAATGGGACAAAAGTGAAAAAGAATTATTTGTTCTTATTTATAACTGACATGATTCTTAATTATTTTCATTTTAATAATCACATTTCTCTTCCATTAAAATCACCATGTTTCAAATTTTTTACAAAACCGACAATCTAGCTTTGAAATATGACGATAAAATAATTATAATGACAAGAAATAAGTTAATTTATCAAGTGATACTCATTTTTGTCCCACTTTTTAGAAGAATCGACCACTGTACGGCCTCGAGTAGTCTGTTTGACTCTCATCTGTTTGTTTCGTTCGAGAGTGAAACTACGTACACGTCTGCGGTTAACAACGAACCCATGATCGGCCCGCGTCGAAGTAATTGCCCGTGATTATCGAATAATTTCGAACGATCCGAGCCGCGGAGACGCCGGCCCTCGTTAGCGTAATTACGCGCGACGGGTATTATCCTTCGTGCAACGATCCAACGAGCACAGGGAAATTAATTCCGAAATCGCGATCCTCGGAGTTACCGTTGCACGGAATATGCTTGAAAATTGGTATTAGCAGCAGCCTGGCGATCGACGAACCGCGGGAAGAACGTTATCGGACGTGTAGATCGTCGATGATTCAATGGGAAAACTGATGATCGCACCGACTCGGATTCTACGTTTAGATCGCGTTTGGATATGCCAAACAGCTAATGGGGAACGATTTCGTGATATTACTGATGGAATTTTTCTGCTGACAGAGATGTTACATATGTGACGCGTTGCGTGAACTTTTAATAACGTGCTCCTTCCTTTTTTTTTTGTTACATTATACTGGTATGGAGTAATTTAAATATATAATTATATATTTAATGATATATAAATTTGTTGGAAAATATTATAATAAGAATTTGAAAATTGCTTTTGGTAGTAATTTTCGAAGATAATAACGCGTAGCTTGCTTTCACGATTTTGAATCATTGTAATTTTTTGTTCATTTGATTCTCGATTGACTTCATTCCGACTTGATACTGTGAATGGTGGTAGGGTGAGGCATTAAGAGGCTTAAAGGAACGTTCGAAAGCACGCCCAGAACGTTGATACGACGTTTAGTCCCGCGGGGAACGAGAATCGTCGTCGTTCCGCGCCTCGCAGAAAGCTAATGGCTGACTCAGCACCGCTAATCTCTCAGTTAAATGATTAACGAGTACGTTAATTAGATCATTAAGATCTACCGTCGTATCACTTTGTTCGGCCCCGAAACTCAGTCATCGAACCTTCAATTATGAATGTCTTTCTTTCGGGGGGAGTTGTCTGGGCTGTCTGACCAACGATGTCTGTATCTACTTGAGAAACCACTCAAGAACGAAACTACGGTATTCCGAAAATTCCCATTTTCTGAAAACATCGCCCTGGTGGGGGCCTGGAGACCCCAACAAACTTGCAGGTTTGTCCGCCATCTTGTATTCAGAAAAGTGCCGGAAAAATTTGGGAATTTATGGGACATTTAGTGGCCCACCACTTTGATGGCGGAAATTGGAACTAATTCTAAAACTTTTTAAACAGTCGGAAGATTCGTGGGTCGACTATAAAAAACCACATAATTCTTGAAGTTGCACGAACGGGAAAGTCGAGCAGAACCATGCTTGTATCGCGTTTGTATCGCGAGGGCCACTTCTACCACGTCGTTTCTCGCGCAATCGGTATCGCGAGCTTCCAGTCTGCCGAACAAATGCCCAATCGATTATCGCCGGGCGTGCATTTCGCTGGTTTCCACCGAAACGAATTTATCGCGAGCTCGTCGAATAAGTAAACAGCCGGGTTTCGCCCTGGAGAAACTTTGTCGATCGGATTACGGGTCGATTGGCAACCTCATGGAACGTTGCTCGCTGCGTTGAACCCGCCCAGGTGGACGTCGATTCATTTCGTTACTTCCACTTACATGTTACATTCCTTTTTCTATTAATTTCCCAATAAAAATATAGCTGGTTATTATTATTACTTATTGAAGTAGGTGGACACGAAAATTCTGACAACTTTAAGTCCGGTAGGAAAGAATTACAGGTTATTAATTCGGGTTTACACACCTTTCGGTAACCTGTAACATATTTTATTTATGGATCATTTGGTAATTGGTCCACTAGTGGAGTATTTAAAATGAAATTTCTCCATCGAAATAACTCGGTCCCACCAATCGTTACTAAAATCACTACGACGCGCCTGGTGGCACAGAAAAGTTAATTAAACTCCCCATATGTATTACAAGATACGTTTTCTGTCTACGTATAAATTCATACCTCTATGAAATTTATTATCGGAACACCACTTATCTTTCACCGATAAATGCCAGGCGGAGAGCACATACGAATTTTGTAATACAGCTGGTCGGACTAGTTCCGAAATCCGGGCGAATCGATCCGGAATCCCCGTGCGCCCCTTAAATATGTCGGTTAGCCCATGTTGCTCGTTATTTACCTCATTGTCACGTGGTACTTTGCTTGTTACGTAACGAAAATTAATAGCAAACGTGGACCCGGCGCGTCAACCTACATGGCTATCGGAGCGTGAGAAGTTCTGCTGAAAGTCTCGAAAGAATCTGCACGTTGGCGTTGTCGAATGCTCGACGAAATTGTATCTATTTTTTTTTAATGTGGGAAGAAACGGTGGAAAGATCTAGGATCCTGAGGATATGAAACGCAACACAGTATTTTGTTAAGTATTTCAATATTCTGAACTGGTCTATAAGAAGCTGTCTGATGACTGAGTAAATCCTCGATTAGATTTCGAAGGCTCCTCGGCAGTGAACATTAAATATTTCATAAACTAACGACTGTATGCAGTTGAAACAAATATCATTGGCTTCAGAATTCCAAGCTCTATCACTGTGATATTCCTCGTTAGTCAGTGTTACATCTCTGGACCTCTGTAAATGTCGAAGAGCCTTCGAACATTCATCAATGATTTACTGCAATGTCTCTCGATGAATTTTCGAGCTGTCAGTAAATTTCGCACCAAATCTGCGCGTCACACGTTGAAACTTCCGACATGATCGATGACAACACATGGTGGAGATCTCATTTGGCGAAACGAACTTTCTTTTACGCGACTATTGTTCCCGGAGACAATGAGCTGCCGATCGAATCGATCGGTCGCGACGATAAGAACTGGGATTCGATTCTGATGTTCCGCGAAAGTGGTGGAAAGAGAATATCGAAACTGCACCGTTTGAAAGCTGCCAATACTTTGGGAAACGTCGATGGAGCTGTCACCTGGCTGACTGCCAGACTGGAGGGGTAATCGAAAGCGAAATTTCTGGGGCGAGGAGAAGAGTGACAGCTCGCATTGATCTGAATGGGGGTTGTAAACTAGATTACAACTTTCGAC